AACCAAAACCAAGCCATTAGGATCTAGCACACGGGGGGCACCCTTGTTGCAAGTCCACAGTGGGCGGCGGATCTAAGACGCCTACGGCGAATCACCGCCGCCCCCTGCCTTTTTGGAAGCGCCTATGTGGCCGAACGTTGAGGCCAGGCCTGCCAAGCTATCGGACCATGTGTTCCCCGAATCGGTTTGGAAAGCCTTCGGGGAACACGTGGGCATCTTGAAGGTCATTTTGGCCGTCTGGAGGCCATTTTGACCCTTTCGGGCCTTCTTGGAGGACGTCTTGGAGGGCTCTTGGGCCGTCTTGGAGGCCATCTTGAGCGTTTTGGAGGCCTCTTGGGGGCCTCTTGGGGCCGTCTTGGGCGATCTTCGGGGGCACTTGGGCCGTGTCGGGCCGTCGGAAGGCCGAACAAAAAGCAAATGCCACAATCCTTCAAACAATTCGGGGAAATCAATGATTTTGACCTTTTCGGACCTTCCTGGAGGCCCTCTTGGAGGCCACTTGGGCCGTCTTGGGCCGTCTTAGGGCCATCTTCGGCCGTCTTGGTGGGCTCCTGGCCCGTGTGACGCCGTCGGAAGCCGTCTGGAGGGTCTCTCTGGGCCGACTTGGGGCCCTCTTGGAATGCTCCATGGCCGTCTTGGAGGCCATCTTGGGCGTCTTAAAGGCCTCCTGTGCCGTCTTGGGGGCATATTGGGGCCGTCTTGGGGGCCTCCTGGGCCGTTCTGGGGCCTTCTTGGAGGCCTCTTGGGCGATCTTTGGGCGATCTTTGGGGGCTCTTGGGCCGTCTCGGGCCGTTGGAAGACCGAAAAGAAGGAAGTGTTCCAGTACATGGACAATATATTCGCACCCAATGCAGACGTGAAGGGAATGCTGGCCCCCCCCCCAGCCCCCCCACTTCAATGTTGAGATCGGCATGGGTGCTGCTTTGGAGGTTCGAATATGATTGTCCACCCAAGCCCCCCCTTCATTGCCGCATCTCCCCAATATTAATTTGGGGGTCCCGGGGACATCTTGCGTCGCAGGGTTCGGATATATTGTCCATGTACGGTCAAATCCTGAATTAGCCTGGCGAAGGACCCAACCATATGCACTTGTGAGTATCGCAATTGTGAATAACTTCTTCGGTGGCGCTTCCTATGGGGCCACGCAACGCTGTACTGGGTGGGTGAAACGCAGGGAGCGAGGGCTGTGCTGGGTGGTGGCGGACGCATGCGGGCTGTGCCACTGGGACCTTCGGTGGAGCCCCCTTATGGGGCCACGCAACGCTGTACTGGGTGGGTGAAGCGCAGGGAGCAAGGGCTGTGCTGGGTGGTGGCGGACGCATGCGGGCGGTACAACTGGGACCTTCGGTGGAGCCCCCTATGGGGCCACGAAGCGTTGTATTGGGTGGGTGAAGCGCAGGGAACAATTGCTGTACCTGGTGGTGGCGGGCGCATGCGGGCGGTGCCACTGGGACCTTCGGTGGAGCCCCCCATGGGGCCACGAAGCGTTGTACTGGGTGGGTGAAACGCAGGGGGCATTTGCTGTATTGGGTGGTGGCGGACGCATGCGGGCGGTGCCACTGGGACCTTCGATGGAGCTCCTTGTGGGGCCACGAAACGTTGTACTGGGTGGGTGAAACGCAGGGAGCAAGGGCTGTGCTGGGTGGTGGCGGACGCATGCGGGCGGTGCCAGTGGGACCTTCGGTGGAGCTCTCTATGGGGCCACGAAGCGTTGTACAGGGTGGGCGAAACGCAGGGAGCAAGGGCTGTGCTGGGTTGTGGCGGACGCATGCTGGCTGTGCCACTGGGACCTTCGGTGGAGCCCCCTATGGGGCCACGAAGCGTTGTATAGGGTGGGTGAAACGCAAGGAGCACGGGCTGTGCTGGGTGGTGGCGGACGCATGCGGGCGGTGCAACTGGGACCTTCGGTGGAGCTCCCTATGTGGCCACGAAACGTTGTACTGGTTGGGTGAAGCGCAGGGAGGAAGGGCTGTGTTGGGTGGTGGCGGACGCATGCGGGCGGTGCCACTGGGACCTTCTGTGGAACCCCCTTATGGGGCCACGAAGCGTTGTACTGGGTGGGTGAAACGCAGGGAGCAAGGGCTGTGCTGGGTGGTGGCGGACGCATGCGGGCGGTGCCATTGGGACTTTCGGTGGAGCCCCCTATGGGGCCACGAAGCGCTGTACAGGGTGGGTGAAACGCATGGAAGAGGGAGGAGGGAGGAGGAGGGGGAAGAGGAGAAGAGGAGAGGAACGCGGGGACCGTCTCTTCAAAACGAGGACCCAACACCAGAAGATGGTTGGGAACACGAACCAAAGGGTCGTTTTTGGCCTTTTGTGGACTTCCTGAAGGCCTCTTGGAGGCCTCTTGGGCTGCTTGGGCCAGCTTCGAGCCAATTTCGGCCATCTTGGTGGGTTCCTGGCACGTCTGACGCCGTCGGAAGCCGTTTGGGGGCCTCTCTGGGCCGACTTGGGGCCCTCTTGGGGCGCTTCTGGGCCGTCGTGGAGGCCATCTTGGGCGTCTTGGAGGCCTCTTGGCCCGTCTTGGGGCCCTCTTGGGGCCGTCTTGGGGGCCTCGTGGGCCGTCATGGGGCCATCTTGGAGGCCTGTTGGGCGATCTTGGGGCGACCTTGGGGGCCTCTTGGGCCGTCTTGGGCCGTCGGAAAGCCGAAAGGCGCAAATACCAACATCTTTCGATAATCTTAGGGAATCAAGGATTTTGGCCTCTTCAGGCCTTCTTGGAGGACCTCTTGAAGCCTCTTGGGCCGTCTTGGAGGCCTCTTGGGAGCCTCTTGGGCCGTTTTGTGCCATCTTGAGGCCAACTTGGGCCGTCTTGGGTGAATATTGGGCCCTCTTGGAGGCATCTTGGGGCCATCTTAGCCGTCTTGGAGGCCATCTCGGCCGTCTTGGAGGCGTCTTGGAGACCATCTTGGGCCATCTTGGAGCCGTCTGGAACGGAACAACCCTTTGTAACCACCTCTGGAAGATCTTTCGGCATCCTTCCGGGTGGCCGGCGGGACGCGCCGGCGCCCCAGGGGGAGTTCTTTGGGAAAAAGAACCAAAACCGAAACCGATAGGATTCGGCACGCCAGGCACCCCTGCGATGAATCGACAGGGAGCGGCGGATCGAAGACGCCTATAGGCGAATCACCGCCGCCCCCTGCCTTTTTCGAAGCGCCTATGTGGCCGAACGCTGAGGCCAGACCTGCCAAGCTATCGGATCATGTGTTCCCCGAATCGGTTTGGAAAGCCTTCGGGGAACACATGGGCATCTTGAAGGTCATCTTGGCCGTCTGGAGGCCATTTTGACCCTTTCGGGCCTTCTTGGAGGACGTCTTGGAAGGCTCTTGGGCCGTCTTGAAGGCCATCTTGAGCGTTTTGGAGGCCTCTTGGGCCGTCTTGGGGGCCTCTTGGGGCCGTCTTGGGAGATCTTTGGGGGCACTTGGGCCGTCTCGGGCCGTCGGAAAGCTGAAAAAAAGCAAATGCCACAATCCTTCAAACACTCCGGGGAAATCAATGATTTTGGCTTTTGCGGACCTTCCTGGAGGCCCTCTTGGAGGCCTCTTGGGCCATCTTAAGGTCATCTTCGGCCGTCTTGGTGGGCTCCTGGCCCGTCTGACGCCGTCTGAAGCCGTTTGGGGGGGTCTCTCTGGGCCGACTTGGGGCCCTCTTGGAATGCTCCAGGGCCGTCTTGGGGGCCATCTTGGGCGTCTTAAATGCCTCCTGGGCCGCCTTGGGGCCCTCTTGGCCGTTCTGGGGCCATCTTGGAGGCCTCTTGGGCGATCTTTGGGCGATCTTTGGGGGCTCTTGGGCCGTCTCGGGCCGTCGGAAGGCCGAAAAGAAACAAATGGACCGATCGTTCGGCGACTCGAGGGCCTCTTGGACCGTCTGGGAGGCCTCTTGGTGCCCTCCTTAGCCCGTCTTTCGGGTTCTTGGGCTCGAATGAGCGAACAATTCCCGCGGGAAGACGCGCCTGGCGCGCTGGGAGCCCCAGGAGATTTGAGAATTTGGGGGTCTTTTGAAAGATCCTCAGGACTCAGGATCGAATGAGGCGCAGGAGATTGAGCAAGGGACCTGAGGACACTCCAACTCGTGCCTCGCAGGCACGGTGGCGGGCTCCGCGAGCATCATGCCCACCTCGTCAATCATCTGTGCCGCTGTGCCCAGCCCGACTTCGTCGTCTTCTGCCAGCACTGCCGCCGCGGGTGCGATTGCTGCCACTGGCGATCCCCATCTGCAGAACATTTATGGCGAGCGGTTCGACGTGATGAAGCCTGGCAGGCATGTTCTGATACACATCCCCCGTGGGGCGCCCGATAAGAGCACATTGCTTCGTGTGGAGGCTGAGGCACGCCGACTGGGAGGGCAATGTTCGGATATGTACTTCCAAAGCTTGAACGTCACAGGTGCTTGGGCAGAGGCGAAACATCCGGGAGGGCTCCATTACGAATCGCGAAGCGCTGTCAACGCGACTGCAGAATGGGATCGTTTTGGAAAGATTGATCTCAAGGTTGTTCATGGACGTACGCAGCAAGATTTCTTGTATCTCAATTTCTACGTCAGACATTTGGGGCGAGCGGGTTTTGCTGTAGGAGGCTTGCTGGGGGCAGATGACCACTCGGACGCAGAAGCGGCCCCGGAAGCGTGCGTCCAGCGACTCTCTCTCCTGGCGCAGAGTGCAGACCTGCAGAGTCATGGCTCTTCATTATCGGTAGCAGTAGCAGATCTCTAGCTAGCCTCGAACGGCCCGATCGCATGATGCATCCGTGGCAAAAAAATAGCTGTCATACTATTGGCCGCCCTAGGCGCCGAAAGCCTGTGCGCACTCATCAGTCTCCAGTGCTCGGCAGAACACGTAGCTGCCCAAGGTGTGACCTACTTGCCGTGGGAGGGAGGGGGATGTGGGGGGGCGAGGAGGTGGATGAGGGGGTTGAGGGGAGGGAGGGGGTCAGGGAAGGAGGATGGGTATGAAGGGGATGGGGCGAGGGAGTTGGCAGGCGGATCTATTCAACATGAGCACAAGTCTGCGACACCCAAACGGCAGAGCACTGATTCGGTACCGCTTGGAAGAACTACAAACATCACTTAAGAGGACTTCCACGCATGGACTGGCATTTGTGGCAACGGATGCTGGCGCTTCGTCCGCCTCCTGCTCGTCCTCGTCAGTCGTCTTCGTCCTGTGCTCTAGTCCGCATTGGCGAGACGGCGAGCGATCGAAGGCTGCAGCAATTCTTCGGCCCAAGCCATTCCAGCTGGAACCCCTAAACCGGCGACTGAACCTCTACAATGTCTTACGATCTCCGTCTTCTTGCGTGTACATTCTTAGCGCTCGGGGCGCGGGTGCAAGCGATCTCTCTTCGCACGCACAACCCCCAGGATAAATACATTACTGCACTCGCATCGTGCCCCGCCGGATATGCGGCGATCTTGTCCGTGTCAGAGTGTGACGCAGCTGGCAGTGCGCTTGGGCTTACGCCGGGGCCCTGGGCGTCGACCAACTATGGTGGCAGCTGTGCGAAATGGGACGGCGGGTGGGCGGCATGGGGCAGCAATTGGTATTGGTATCGAAGACGCCTTCGGCGAATCACCGCTGGCCCCTGCCTTTTGGAAAAAGCCCATGCCCCATGCGGCCAAACGTTGTGCCGACGGTTGGCGACGCTATTGGACTATGTGTTTCCCCAGCCGTTGTGGAACCCTTGAGGCAGGAACATTTGAGGGAGGGCGAGGAAGAGGAAGGAGGTGGAGAGGCAGGAGAAAGAGGACGAGGAGGAGGACGAGGAGGAGGAGGACGAGGAGGACAAGGAGGAGGAGGAGGAGGACGAGGAGGAGGAGGAGGAGAAGGAGGAGGAGGGGGAAGCATGGGAGGCATCTTGAGGCCCTCTTGGGGCCTCCTCGGTCGTCCTGGGAGCCTCTTGGGAGCCTCTGAGGGGCCTGTTAGGGCCCTTCTGGGGGGCTTCTTAGGGGCCTCTTGGGGCCTCTTGGGGGCGTCTTGGTAGTTTCTGGGGACCTCTACAAGAACTCGTTGCCTGCTTCGGCCGTCTTGGGACCCCTTTAGGAGCTTCATGGCCGTCTTGGAAGTCTATGGGGCTGTCATGGGGCCCTTTGGGGAGCCTTCTGGTCTGTCGTGGAGCGATCTTACGAGCCTGTAGGGTAGTCTTGGAGCGTCGGAAGCCTGAGAAGGCGAGAACTCTACAACCACTGCAACCCATACATCTAACCAAAGAGTGTGGCCTCCTAGAGGTCCTCGTTGAGGCCTCCTGGCATTTTGGGGGTCTCTTGGGCCGTCTGGAGGGCATCTGTTTTGATTGCTGCGTTCCCCGTGGCCAGCGCGATAGGCTGGGACCAGGGTGGGAATTTTTAACAACGACCCAGAGTACGAAGCACTTAGCACGCCGTGCACCCTTGTGGCAAGACCACATGGGGCGGTGGGTCGAAGACACCTACGGGGAATCACCGCCGCCCCCTGTTTTTGAAGAGCCTCTGTGGCTGAACGTTGCGGTCGGAGCTCGGCCAAGCTATCCGACTATGTCTTCCCCCACAGCCGTTGTGCAAACTCTTGGGTGAGCACCCAGGGGATGGAGAAGAAGAGGAGGAGAGGGAGGAGAAGGGAGGAGGAGGGGGCTTCGTGGGAGCCTCTAGAGACACTCTTGGGGCCTCCTGGGAGCTTCCTGGGGTCCTCTTGGAGGGGGCTTCCTTGGGCCTCTTGGTGGGCTTTGGCGGCTCCTTCGCCGTCTGATGGCGTTCATGGCCTGTCTGACGCCGTCGAAAGCTGTCCTGGGGGCGTCTCTGGGCAGACCTTGGGCCCTCTTGGGGCGCCATGGGGCCGTGTTGGAGGCCATCTTGGGCTTCTTGTAGGTCTTCTGGGCAGTCTCGTGGCCGTCTTGGAGGCCTCTGGGGTCTTGGGCCATCTCGGAGGCCTCGTGGGCGCTCTTGGGATGATTTTGGTGGCCTGAAGGGCCGTCTTGGGCCGCTGGAAACCGAACATGAGTAAATGCCCAAACCATTCAAACGCCTAAACAATACGTTTGACCTCTTGGAGGCCTCTTGCGCCGTCTTCAACCATCTGGCGGCCATCTTAGGCCGTATTTGATGCATCTTGGAGCCGTCTTGAGGACATTTTGCGGCCATATTGGGCTCTCTTGGGGACAGCTTGGCCGTCTTGAAGGCCATCTTAGTTGTCTTGGAGGCGTCTTGGAGCGAAACAGTCACGCTCCGATCATGTTCGGGTGTTTTCGACTTCTTTCCAGTTGGCCAGCGGGTTGGGCCGAAGGACCATTGGGGATCTTTTGAAAGGACCAACAACTTCCCACAAGTCTGACACGCCGTGCACCCCTTTCGCAAGCCAGCAGGGGGCGGCGGATCAAAGACGCCTACGGCGAAACACCGCCGCCCGCTGCCGTTTTGGAAGCGCCTATGTGGCCGGACGTTGCGGCCAGAGCCCGGCCAAGCTATCGGACTATGTGTTCCCCCCAGCCGTTGTGCAATTTCTTCGGGGAACACGTGGGGGAGGAACAAGACACGGAAACATAAGGAGGACACAGAGGAGGAGGAGGAGGAGGAGGAGGAGGAGGAGGAGGAGGAGGAGGAGGAGGAGGAGGAGGAGAAGGAGGAGGAGGAGGAGGAGAAGGAGCAGGAGGAGGAGGAGGAGGAGAAAGAGGAGAAAGCTTTTCGAGACACTCTTGGGGCCTCCTGGGAGCTTTCTGCGGGCCTCTAGGAGGCAGCTTGGGGGCTTCCTTGGGCCACTTGGGGGCCTTTGGAGGCTCCTTGGGAGGTTCTTTGGCCGTCTGATGGCGTTCATGGCCCGTCTGACGCCGTCGAAAGCAGTCCTGGGGGCGTCTCTGGGCAGACCTTGGGCCCTCTTGGGGCGCTGTGGGGCCGTGTTGGAGGCATCTTGAGCGTTTTGGGGGTCTCTTGGGCCGTCTTGGGGCCCTCTTGAGGCCGTCTTAGGGGCCTCTTGGGCCGTCAGGGGGCCACCTTGGAGGCCTCTTGGGCGATCTTGGCGCGACCTTGGGAGCCTCTTGGGCCGTTGGAAGGCAGTCGGCAGGCCGAAAAGCAGCACATGCCAAGTCGTTCAAACGCCTTTAGGAAAGCACTGGTTTGGGCCTCTTCGCGGCTTCCTGGAGGTCCTCATGGAGGCCTTTTGGGGCCGTCTTGGGGTCCTCTTGGGGGCGTCTTTGGCCGTCTTGGGGGCCTCTCGGGGCAATCTTGGGCCATCTTGAGGCAATCTTCGGCCGCCTTGGGCCATCTTGAGGCAATCTTGGGCCGTCCCAGGTGCATCTTGGGCAGTCTTGTGGGCATCTTGAGGCCACCTTGGGCTCTCTCGGGGTCATCGTGGCCGTCTCGGAGATAACATCTGGGCCGTCCTGGAGGCTGTCTTGGGGCCGCCGGGAGCGGGAAGGCCGACGACATGGGAAGTCTCTGGGTCCTTATTCTCTTGCACAGCTTTGCTCTGGAGCTCGGACCTCTTTCTTTTCGCTCGTCGTCGTCGTTCGTTCGTTCGTCGTTCGTCCTCGCCCCCACAGCCACAAAGGTGAACTCCTGGAGGAAGGAGGCGAAAGCCTCCTGTCACTCGCAGCTCCTTGGTGCAAGAGCCAGGGCACGCGTGCCACTTGTTCTGGGCTGGCTGAATGGCCGGAGGCCCACTAGAAACCTGAACAGGACCAACAAGTACCAGACATCCCGCGCGCCGTGCACACTTGTGGCAAGCCAACAAGGGGCGGCGGATAGAAGACGCGGCGAGTCACCGCCGCCCGCTGCCTTTCTGGAAGCGCCTATGTGGCCGAACGTTGCGGCCAGAGTTCGGCTAACCTGTCGGACTACGTGTTCCCCCAGACGCTGTGGAAACCCCTCGGGGAACACGTTGGGGAGAGCAAGAAGAGGAGGACAGGAAAGAACAAGGAGGAGGAGGAGGAGGAGGAGGAGGAGGAGGACTAGCAGGAGGAGGAGGAGGAGAAGGAGGAAGAGCAGGAGGAGGAGGAGGAGGAAGAGGAGGAGGAGGAGGAGAAGGAGGAGCGGCGAGGCGAGAGGATGCGGGAGGATGGACGACAGATCAGCCTCTTGGGGCACCCTTGGGACCTCCTAGGAGATTCCTGGGGACCTCTTGAAGGCATGTTGGGGGTGTCCTTGGGCGTCGTGGATGTCTTCTTAGGGCCGTTGGGGGGCCTCGGGGCTGTTTTGGGGGCCTCTTGGGCCGTCAGAAGACCATGTCGGAGGCCTTTTGGGTGATCTTGTGGCGACCTCGGGAGCCTCTTGGGCCGTCGGAAGGCCGTCGGAAGGCCGAAACGACGCACATGCCAAATCATTCAAGTACTGATGGGATATCAGTCAATTGACCTGTTCGCGGCTGCCTGGAGGTCCTTTGAAAGGCCTCCTGGGCCATCTTGGAGGCCTTTTGGGCGATCTTGAGGCAATCCTGCCGTCTGAGGGCGTTCCTGGCTCTGTGCCGACTTGGGGCGTTTCAGGGCCGTCTTGGGGGGCCATCTTGGCCATTTTGGAGGTCTCTTGGGCCTTCAGGGGGGCATTTATGAGACCTCGTGGACGCTCGTGAGGCCATCGTGGTGGCCTCTGGGATCGTCTTGGGCCGTCGGAAAGCTGAACATGTGCAACCGCCACGATCACTCAACACTCACCAGAAATCAATGGTTTTGGTCTCTTCAGAAATAACTTGAGGTTCTTTGAGAGGCCCCTTAGGCCGTCTTGGAGGCCTCTTGGGCGATCGTTATGTCATCTAGTGCCATCTTCAGGGCATCTCGGCCCGTCCTGAAGACATGTTGAGCGTTTCAGGGCTCTCTTGGGGCCATCGTAGCCGTCTTGGGGATCATCTTGGTCGTCTCGGAGGCTCTCGTTGAGCTGTCTGCAGCAGGAATGCCGACGACCTGGTAAGTTTACGTGTCCTCGTGGAGGCGAGTGTTCAGTTATTCCCAACTTTCCGTCGTTTGGGCTCTCGTTTTGAAGAGAGCATTGTGGTCTCCACGTCCTCCTCCCGCAGCCCTCCCTTTCTCTCTCTCTCTCTCGCTTTCTCTCTCTCTCTCTCTCTCTTTCTCTCTCCCTCTCTATTCCCAAGACTCCTTTGTCGTTGGATTCTCGTTTTGGGCTGCCGGTGGGGGGGGACCTCGCCATCCCTGAGGGGTTGTGATCTGCGAAAGTGTCACCCTTTTCGGAGCCTGTTGGGGGGTGGAGGTGAACAGCATAGTGGGTACCCGCCGCAGGTCCACATTAGACCTCGCCATCCCTGGGGGGCTGCGATGTGCGAAACCATCGCCACTTTCCAGGGCTACTGCGGCGGGGGGGGGCAGCGCAGTGGGTGCCCGCTGCAGATCCAGAGCAGCGGCTGCGATCTTGAACGTCTTCCGCCACGCTCGAGTGCTGCCGAGCAGCGAGCCCCCACGCAAACGTACAGTAGGCCCCGCCTTGCCTGGGGGGCTGCTGCCTGCGGAATTGTCGCCACCCTCGAGGGCTGCTGGGGGCGCCAGCACGGTGTCGGCCCCGCAGACTCAGACTAGACCTCGCCATCGCTGGGGGGCTGCGATCTGCCAAGCTGTCACCGCT